TAGATTTCTGCAACTATCTATCGTTGAATATCAATGAAAGAAAATAACGTCGTAATCGACAAATGACTAATTGATTTGATAATAAAGATTCTTTCGTTTACATTCATTAATAACCATTTATTTGAATTTGTACTAAATGAATCCACATACTATAAAGATTAAAAAAATCAACTCTTCCATTAGAAACTTCTGCAATTCTTACTTGTAAACTCTTCGTTATATAGCGATTTTTTTCATAAGTAAAAGCATTGCCAGCACAGACACTATTGTCACGAAATCAAATTTTTTCACGCTGAGATATTTCACCAATTTCTTGTAAACTATTATATGAACAACATGGGGTTGTTCCTACTGTATCCAAAGCCTAATTTCTTATAAAATATTTTCGATATAAAAAAAAAATCATAAATCAAAAATGGTATGAATCCTTTTTCATTATCAGTTCGAATACATTCCTCTAGTGATTTTTCACGTAATGAAAAATGTTCGTTAACCGCAAACTGACGAACACAAGTCATACAAATTAAATCAGCTTTTTCTACACATGAATATGCCTAAAGAACTTCATATTTGGAAAGAAAACACTTTGTCAATCATACAAGTTTTAATGTATAGCAAACAAGTCAAGCTAAAATTTGTCCATCTTCCATTAATGAATTCAGCTTGACATTTACTTGTTATATCTTCGTTGTATACGCTGCTAGCATTGTCACAAGAATACATTTACTTCCCGAATCCTATATTAAAATTTCTTATCGGATTTAAAATGAAGAAATTTCCTTCTTCGAATTGATGATTCTAATCTTTAGATAAATCATAAGAGACAGCAGTTTTCTGCCCAATTTCAAAGAGAAATGATCAGATAATATCAGCCACTATCTGTTCGGACTATACTGATTCTAATAATTGTCAGAAGTATTCGACATTTATTGTTTCTATTCTAATGGTTTTGCTTTATATAAGCAAGTGTTCGAACAAATCATTACGAAATCAATACAAAATGAACTAGTTGTTCATTACACGAAAAATATTCTTTTTTTGTCGTATATTTAATTATTTTGAAACAAGTTATTTGTTGAAAATGAAAAGTGAATTAACTTTGTGTATTAGACGATTATAGGAGCATTATTTATTCAATAAATCTAGCTATAAAAGATGGATAGTATTAGAAGAACGAAAGAAAGAATTTAATTGTTAGTAAAAATAAACGAATCAATTACTATCCTCTATTCGATGTATATGTCTATCGATAAATAGAGTGGCCTCACCTAAACGAAAACAAAATGGCGTCAGAAAAAAACAAATAATGCACTGATAAGAAGTCTCTGTCTGTTTTCTTTGTCATTAATCATTAAAATTAATAGATATTCTTGACTCATAATCAATAATCTTTTTATGTCTAGATACAATATGGATACATGGGTACAAGGTTTCATTGATGCAAATGAAGATAAGATTCGTAATAAATTTGATTATTTATTTTTATATATTCATGCGTTTATTACGTTTTTTTATCCTCAAGAAAAAGTAATAAAAAATACTTTTCTTTATACTAATCTTTTATCTTTTTCAAAGAAAATTGATGATATCATACCCAGGTCCAATAAAACGGCGTCGTAAACGGCCTGAAACGGCTATAAAACGGTGATTAACGATGTAAAACGTCGATAAACGGCACCGTAATCCGTCATACCAGATTACGGAAGCAAAACCGGAAAAAAACGACCGCCGTTTTCTAGCGATAGACGGTGGTCGTAATACGGTATGACGGATTACGGCGAAGTAAGGCCAAAATGACTGCAGTAATTCGCCGTTTTATAGTCGTTTCAGGCCGGATACGACGCCGTTTCCGACGGCCGGAATGATCCACCTGGGTAACATGGGGACGAAATGGTCATGATATGTATACCATGACATACATTATAAATGGCCATACAATAACAACAAAAATGAAACATAAAAAAGAAAAAGAAAAAAAAGAAATGTTAAATTTAATAATAACAGTAAAATATTGCTTGATGAATTAAAAAAAAATTTTTTTATGAATTTTAGATTGGATCAAAACCTTACGAAATCGATATATCATTAGATGCATACGTCATAGTAAAAAATAAAAAATTATCGTAAGATATCTAAAATTGATTCGCATTTTTAATATGCTGACGTTTGGTAAAAATTTGTCTTTTTTAGCAATAAAAATTGAATAGTATTGGAGAAAGCTTTACGTGTATTTTTCAATCGTGTATGTTCGAAAATTTCTTCATATAATTCATCAAATAATCAAGGTACACAACAATCATTAAAGACACAAGGCTTAGCAGCATCAATGGATTATATAAATTCATCATCACAACATACACAATTTCAAGTATTTTTTCTTTTCTCAAAATTAATTTCAAGATTTTCTTTTTTTTTTTAGAATATCGATTCTCATCCACCTCATCATCCAACAAATTTCAATTATGGTCAACCACCACCATCACCTGATCATCCAACAAATTTCAATTATGGTCAACCACCACCA